AAGGCTCAGGCGCCACCTGGTGGCCAACCAGTCTCTCTGCGCCTTGCTCAGAGTCAGAACTCTGTCCAGGGTCCTCCACATCCTCCAGGGCCGACTCATAGGGCCCCTCGCTATCGGAGTCTGGTGGCAGCTCCAACGGCTCCTGCCGGGCCACAAGTTTCCAATGCTTGCGGGCTGGCTTACTAACTGCTGGGCGCCTGAACATATGGGTACTTAGGGTATTCAAATAAAAGGACAGTGATCATGGGTGGAATCAAACTGGGCTATTAGAACAGGGTGTACTATTATTGGATATTGAAATGAACTAGAACTAAAAGCCTATTTTATTTAAATTGTAGCATGCTAAACTTTATTCAGTTATACAGAAAAGGAACCACAAGGAGGAGGGGAGGTTCTATTATTGTTACTTCTGACTATTTATGACTTGATAGACAACAATTCACCAGGACTGTAAACAATTTTTGTAAACCAGTAACAGTATCTAGCCATCTTTGTTTTATCAGCTTATTTTTCAATTGGCTTCCATTTCACCAACTATCAAGCTTTCTTCAAGAACTATGTGCCTATCATATCCAAAATAGATAAATTTTAGCTTTATAATTGTTTCAGTGATCAATTTGCATTTACTTAATCTAGGCTTAGATTATTTTGTTGTTCTTGTAGCCCACGATATTCTCCATTTTCATCAGCCTGGATCTCAATGCAAAGGCATTAATTTTTCTTTATTCAGCTTTTCTGATGTCTGGCTTTCACAACCATATTAAAACAGGGAAGAAGATTGCAATAATAGTGTCGTTATTGTCAGTGTGAATACTTTCCATTTTAATATTCTATCTAGATTTGTCTTTCTCACAAGAAATAACTGAAGGGTTGCCCACACAATGTTCAGTTCAGCATGCTTTGAATTGGATTCGGTTTCTTGCAAAGCTACATTTTAACTAGTGCTTTCTGTAGGATATGTGAAAACTAAATATTCACACACACACGCACACACACAAATGCACCAGGATGCCCTGCGTTTTGAAGTGTTGAGGAACACTTGTCCTTCACACTTTTTTTTGTGTTTAATATGGGAACCATCTGTATATCTTTTGCAAACATGATTCTTACCCAAAGTGTGAAACAGGCTCTTACTCACCCCTCACTTGTCTTCTTAAATTATAGACTGGAATTGGATGACCTTTTTCCTTTTAAACAAATTTGATTCTGTTGCTTACTGCAGGATAAACTTTAGACTAATTTTTTAGTCCATTTTTCCTTGTAAAACAAATAACAATAGTTCCAAATTAAATGTGTCTTTACGTATGTCATATGAACTGTATTTATAAAGTTAGGCTCAATGGGGTAAATACTGGAGTCAGGCTCTTTCTGCATCTTTAAAAAGCTTTAGATTGCTTTGGAATGGGAGACAGCTAATTTCTTTTTAGTATAGCTCTGTTGCATTGTCTCTCTTGTAAGCCTTCATTCCCTTCTGCCTCCATCCCTCTCCGCCCTCCTCCCAACTTTACACCTGTTTCTGCACTCCTGTTGGCCTTCATTTGTTGCTGTGAATTATAATTCACAGCAAATTACACTCTTTGAAACTCTTTTGTTTCTGCTTCCCCTGACACCGAACGCATTTACTTGGAAACAAACTCTTTTTTGTGTGTTTCGTTTTACATGGCAGTTATTATCACGAAAAATGGAGGCATACATGTCCTTCCAGCTACAAAGCTGAGTCTTATTGTGTCCGTGCGGAGCCCATTTACCCGGCTGTCATCAACAGCCAGGCTAACCAGCGGCTCTCCATGTGGCCCCGAAATCTGCGGCTGAAGGTCCTTGGTCGCTGGCCTTCGCGGCACCGCTGACGAACAGAGATAAACACTCGGCCCCCAGGGCTGGGAGAAGAGCCCTTCCCTTCCTTTCAGGGTCTCTCCGGAGACGTGAAGGGAAAAAAGCCTTTTGCTCCCTGCGGCTCGGAATTCCCGGCTTTTCTCTCTCTTTTGCTTGTAGTCGCGCGCCTCTCTCCGGCTATGTCCATCCTCTCTGCCGCCGTTTCCAGCCACGAAGCACATACGTGCCTTCTTCATGCAGCCGAGGACGGCACGGATGACGCTCATCTCCCGACCGCCGACATCTTCCAAGAGTAGGGGAAAGAAGTCCACGGCCGCCCCGAGGACGCGCGCTTTCCCTCGCCCCGATTGACGTCACTAGCTGGAATTCCTCCTCGCGGCAAGCGCGGAGACGCGCACGCGCGCCTCCAGAAACTCAACCAGGCACAGGCACAGCGGGTGAGTCGGCTATCGGCTGCTCCGCTAGCCAGGGGGCGTGACGGACAGGTAGCGTTCTTTTTCAAAACAAAATAAACCGCACGCCAAACGCATAACCGGTATCTTCGCCTCAAGGCAGGTCAGAGAGTCCCCCCCCTTTCCCCTCCTCCCGGGCATGTGCAACCTCAAGACGTCCCTGCTGCTTGCACTCGAGGCGTGAGTGTCGTGGCTTCGCTGTTCGAATCTCCCTGGCAGCCAAAAGCCTCCATTTCTTGCTGCAAGGTAAGTCTTCGCACTGGGGCGATGGGGAAAACCCCCGCTCCGGTTGATGGCAGTGGGTCTCAAACCCATTGGTTTGGTTGAGAAGACGGGGGTGGGGGAGGAGAGACTTTTGGCCGGTGGCAGAGTCACAGCTTGTAGAATTGGGGTGTGTCGCAAGTATTTTCAAAGCGTGCATGTTGAATTCTTGGTCTTAGTCGAAATAATTTGTTTTAAAGAAGTTGTCACTAGGATTGTCAGAAACCGTGCAGTAAGGCTGTATTTCATTAGCTCATTTTCTGCTTTTCATTTTTGCCACTTTCTGCACTACACAGACAGACTTCTCACATAGTTAAGCCTTCATCTGACTTCCACCATATAAAATCAAGAGTATGACAAGAACTGGCATGGATGATTCTTTCTAATGAACAGAAGCTTTCTATATGTGTTGTGTGTTTTTGTGTGTGTCTGAATTTAGTATCTTGAGTTTGCTGGATACAGTATTCCAGGCCATGTGGCACCTGATTTAGAAAATCTGAGAAGGCAGAGAGGGTATGTGTCTCTATAACACATATATTAGGGAGGTAGTAGCAGTGCATCCATCAGAGAATGAAGGTTGTGGGCAGAAGGCAAATATTCTGAGGAAGTGGGAGAGATTGCAAACTGGCACTGTTTGTTGTTTGCGCGTTTTGGGAATAGAAGAGCCTTGTTAGCGGATGCTTGTTTATTAGAATAAGCTGGTTTCTGATGAATATTTTAACTGTATGATTAGCCACTGAATGCAATGTGGAGAAGGTTAGGGTACTCCTGAAAGGAAAAAGAAAGAAAAGTGTTGCAAGCCTCAAACCTTCAAAGCAGCATTTTAAGAAAGGTTGCTTCCCACCCTCCCTTTTCTCCTTTTTCTCTACTTGGGAGCTGATAGACAGGCAACATTGAGAAATTTCAATTGTTCCGATGAAAAAGTGCCAGAACAGATTTTAGTGCAAAACAGACAGACTGTTCCAGTTGTACTACAGTAATGAAAGCAGGGCGCTAGCATTAGATAAGAAAAAAAAGATCTGAGAAATTTTAAACTGTTTTCAGGCAAGGGATGAGGAACATCCAGTTAAATATCCCTTAAAAAATTATGGATAGGTTTCAGAATGTTCAGAATTTAGTGACAAGTATACAAAACCAAATAGCTGTTTAAAGATATCGGTCATAGAGAAAATCTATCTATGCGGTCACTAGGAATTGAAAATGACTTGAGGGCATATAATCCTTCAATCAAAGACACCAAAACGAATAGGAAAAAAAACCTGCACATATTACGTGTGTCCGTAAATGTACCTATCCACACATAAATCTATTTTTACAAGGGCACAGCATATAATTAACACATATTGTTCATCATATAATCTAATACTAAAAATTGGAAATAAACATATCTTATTGTTTACAATATCATATTGTTCGGGGGATGATGAAGTTTATCAAGCAAAACAAAGCAAAACAAGATCATGCTCTGGCCCTCTGATTTAGTTGAATAATTTTGAGAGGTAACTGTTTACCCCAAACGGTTCTGGATCTGTTCTAGACTAAAGTAAATTGGTCCTGATCAACTGTGTTCTTTGGGATTATCTGAAGAGTCAGTGGAGGTTAATTGACTCCTTTCCTGGGATTGGAGTTGAAGTGCTAGTAGAAGGCTCAGAAAATGGATGCTTTCTACCTACTGCATATTTTTTTCACTTTTCACCTCCTCCCTCCCCCCAAGTGCCACTCAATGGATGGGATGGGAATAGCCCTTGCTCTGCAGTACAGATTTTTGAAAAATGTTTTTGGCTGAAACAAAAATAAATAACAAACCAGACGATAGAAAGGAAAGAGCTGACCTCCAAACCAGAAAGTGAAGAGCTTGGGGGACTCTATAAGTGTGACAAATAGATGACTGATTGGGATATCCCTGCTTGAGGCATTGAGATAAAGGGAGATGATGGGAAGGTATGACTTAGAAAGAGATTAAAGATGCAAGTATTCATGGGTACAGAAACAGACTTTTTTTAATTTCTGGAAAAGACTTTTCTCTCAGAATTCCAGGGACAGGGAAAAGAGAAGCTTGAATTTCCATGGAGGTAAGAAATCCAATCACTGTCCCAAAGGTATGTGATGTTGATGGATGACCTGATCCTGAGATAAACGGAGTCGGCACTCTACAGACTTGATATCAAGGGAAATAATGCTATTTCCCACGTGTGAATATACAGGAGTGATGGAGAAACACTAACTTGATTAATCAATCCTACCATATTGATCATAGACCTTTTCTTCTATTTCACATTGGAACAAAGACACTGCCAGAAACAACCTGGAATAATTATCAAGGGACTATCAGGGGTTAGGCAGGAAAGCAAAAATGATTGGAGCACAAGTAGTATTTTTTTCCATACTTCCAAGATCAAGGCCTGAGGGAGGAATAGAGGATTCTGGAATTAAAAATACAGTTCTATAATAAACTGAGAATAACAACAATAAAGACAAGTTTAAAATAATGAAAAGAGGGACATGTAAGAAAAGGAAAATTTCAGGAAAAAGCCTGAATTTATAAGGAAAGGAACAAGTAGACTAAGGCTCAGAATGAGGTTTGCTGTGAATGCCAAAAATAAACAAAAAGTGGCTTAGAATTATGTGTGGAACAAGAGAAAAATGATCAGTCTGTTGGTCAGAGAAGATAGCAAGATGGTGATGGACATAAAGGAGAATGCTGAACTATTTAATTCCTGTTTTAATTTTCTATTTTTATAAAATGAGAAAGAGATCCAGTCTGTCAGAAGCTCTGCTTGAGAGACATGGGAGGGGGGGGGGGGGCGCACAGAAGAAAAGTGCAGGTCAAAACAGACTTGGAGGCTAAACCCTATAGAAGTCAATTAAAAGAACGGAAATAATATGGGTTATTCTCCTTAGAGCCAAGGTAATAATAATAATAATTGACAAAATCACCATCAGTCAAATGCAAAAAGCCGCATTGCTTGGATCCGCATGTATATTACGAAAATACGTTATGACGTCCTAGGCCCCTGGGTGGGGCCCAACTAGTAATCAATGCCACATCCGGCGAAACAACTGGCCGCTGTGATACAGTAGTAGTAGTAGTAGTAGTAGTAGTAGTAGTAGTAGTAGTGTGGCAGTACATGGTGACAACAGAATAGAAAACTGGATAAAATTACAAAATACAAAGATCTGCAAATAGAAATAGAACAGCTGTGACAAAAGAAAACACAGATAAGTAGTGCACCTTGGGTGCAATCTCTAAACAATTGGAGCAGTAACACCATTGGCATGTACAAAATCACCATCAGTCAATGTCAAAAGGCAGTTTTACCTGGAACAGCTTACATCATCAAATAACAATATCTGCCTATTCCAGGTCCTTGGGAAAGATAGGTGGATAAAAATGCCAAATCCAATCTAAACATCTGGTTGTATGACCAACCACAACATTATATATTATATGTATATGCTGCCTGAAATCCAATGATTCTGGGAGGACAAAAACCAATGGATGGAAGCTTTATAGACAGAGAGTCAAACATGAGAAATTTCCTGATTATGAGAGCGGTCAAGCAGTGAAACAGTCTGCCTCCTTGGGTTATAAATATCCCACATCACTGGAGGTTTTCAAGCAAAGGTTGGAATCAGTGGTGGATTGTTCCCAGTTCAGCCTGGTTCGGCCGGGCCGATAGTAGCGGTGCTGCAGGCCCCACCCACCTGCCCAGATGCTTTTGCACATGAGCAGAAGCGTTATGCGTGCACGCGAGTGCGTGTGGGAGCAAGCTTGAACCGGTAGTACAAATATTTGAAACTGTTTGGAATGTCATTTGCCTGAGATGGTTTGAGGATTTCTACCAGGGATTAGAAGACCAAAGTCTCTTCCAATCCTATTTTATGATTCTATGACTTGCATGGCTCCTGACCAACAAATCTTTTGTAACCCAAAGATTGGTCAGGTTGGTGTTATAGGGTAGACAGCAAAACTTTGCACAATTGTGGACCCTATTAAATATTATTAAATAAGATTTGTTTTTGATATGTTAAATGGGTTGATACATTAATCTTATACAGTGCGTGTACTAACTTTTCACTGAAGAACTGTGGCAAATCATATACCTAATTTCTGCCCATTATGCCAGAATTTAGTTGTACAACTAAAAAGGGTCACAAACCATTGCATGTTGCTGTTCTTTCTCTAGATGGTGCTGTTGGTCTATATTAATGGTTCATTTATTTGATTTACATTAAATACTGGATAATTAAAATATATAAAATAAAAATAGCTTTACAGTTATTAACATTTATAGGGCCTGCACCTGATTATAATATGTTTTTCTTTTCTTTTCTATACCCATTAAAACCTGTAATCATGATATAATAAAAAAAAATCAGAGCAGCATTACAAGGTTTTTAATTCTGATTGGTATTTATAGGGTTAATGCTATCGGGTAGTATTTTTCTTTGTAGATTCTGCCTAAGGACAACTTTAGTTTAATAACCTTAGTTTAACTAGTGAGATATGGTTCTGTGAGCAGATCCTAAAGGAGAAATGTTTTGAACACATGACCAAATTTAAATTTTAAATTTTCATCCAGTAGCAAGACATCTTAGAAATCAAAGGCTGTGTAGACACTTACCGTGTTTCCCCGAAAATAAGACAGGGTCTTATTTTCTTTTTACCCACAAAATACGACTTGGGCCTTATTATGAGGGTAGGGATTATTGTTTTGGGGTTGCCAGGTGGCTGCTCTCTTGCAAGCGGGCTCCCAAACAGCTGGGCACAGCCTCTTGGGCGAATGGCTGTGTTGCGTAGCAGCGCAACACAACAGCCATGAAGCGACCACGCTCACAAGCAGCCACCCGGCAAACCTCCTTTCCAGCTGGGCACAGCGCCATTCACTGGCCTAGGGGTATTGCCAAGCTGTGTGAGCGCCTGTTCGCCGCCACCCGGCTCCCACGGCTTGGCGCCTTCGAAATGCCAGTAAATGGTGCTCTCC